AAGAGAAAGAAAAGAAAATGATTGTAAAGCTTCAAGAAGGAGTTATGGTTTTAAAAGACAATATTAAAAAAAACTTTTTATCAGTACTATTTAAATTTGTATATAGGACAGGATATTTCTGTGAAAAAAATAGAATGCTAAAAATGCAAAATTAACCACGATTAACAAATATATAAAAACAGATTTTGAATGGGCCTATAATAGTGATGACTAACCTTTTTGCCATCACGTGCTAATAGCGTGGGGAGCGTGGGGGGTCGCGGGTGCGGGTGCCCACATCCATAATTCAATGTGCCCCACTCTCCCGCGCATGTGCATGTGACCCCCCCACACTTCCCCCTGCTTTTGGCACGTGATGGCACTGTAGGCCCGGTAGGCCCATTTTTCCCCCTCCCCAGGCTCCAGAGGCTTTCTAGGACCCTGGGGAGGGCAAAAACAGCTTTCCCCATTCCCCCGGAGGCCTTCCGGAGGCTGGAAACAGCCAGCTTCCCGACTTCCGGTGGAACCGGAAGGCCTGAAAATCAGTTGGCTGGTGCGTGCATGCACGCTGGATCTGAGCTAGAGCAACACTCGCGTGCCCACCAATATGGCTCCGTGTGCCACCTGTGGCACCCGTGCCATAGGTTCGCCATCACGGGCCTATAACAATAATGGAAGTCTTGGAAGTTATAAAAAAGATTGAGCCAGGAGAACTCCTGGGCTAGATGGACTACCAGGAGCTTATTATAGATATTTTGAAGATGAAATTTCACAATCCCTTCAGAATACATGAACTGTATTCTACTAGGAAAGAGGATGCTGCCATCACAAAAAAAGCTAATATTGCACTAATACTAAAACCCACAAATTTAAACTCAACTAAAAATTGTTATTCCTCTATTCTATTATTACCGAATAGTGATCACCTATTACTAAATCATTATTTAGTAATAGGTGATCACTATTCGGTAATAATAGAGTTTATAATATTATTTACAATATTGGCAAAAACAGACTGAAAATATTTTACAAACATAATGAGTATAAAAATTAAAAAAGAGACATAAAATTTGAGAGTTTTTGTAAATGATTCGGTTTTGATATTGGAAGAGCCATTGAAAGGGATAGAATTGTTAATGAAAAAAATAAAATGTACTAGCTGGTTTTAAGATGAATAAGCAAAGATGTTAACAAAAAATATGAAGATACAAGATCATTTAAGACTGATGAACAAAACATGTTTTCATTCTTCTATTCTCGTGATTAATTCTTCTTAGTTTTTATTTTTAAAATTTAACAAAGTTGTTTAAAAAAACTTTCATGATTTTCATAATTTTCATGATTACCTTTTCAAGATGAAAAACCTAGGGATAGAATTAGCCTTCTGTAAAAATTTCACCTCAGGAGAAACATTGAATTATGTGGAGATGAATTTCAGAAGGATAAAAATTATAATTTCCAAAGTTTATGAAAAAAAAAACCCTCAAGACAAAGTGGAGTTGCCTGAATAAAAAGAGTTGGCCATTAAGGAAGAATGATGTTTTGTATTTTCTCTCTCTCTCTCTCTCTCTCTCTCTCTCTCTCTCACACACACACACACACACACACACACACACACACACTTTTTCTTTTAATGACCCTATAATCCAGTGGGTCTCAACCTTCCTAATGCCGCAACCCTTTAATACAGTTCCTCAAGTTGTGGTGACCCCAACCATAAAATTATCCCTAAGACCATTAAAAATATGTGTTTTCCGATGGTCTTAGGCGAACCCTGTGAAAGGGTCGTTCGACCCCCAAAGGGGTCCCGACCCACAGGTTGAGAACCACTGCTATAATCCTTTGCATTGGAGTGGAGTCAGGGCATCTGATTGGAGCTGAGCATTTACTGGCCAGATGCCCTTCCTGATACATTTGTGGTGTTTGCAGCAGACAATTTCTCATTGCGCCCAGAGAGAGAAATATCTGCTGCCACCTTGGATTGAACTCACGTTTCCTGAATGTGAGGCGAGAGTTCCACCTGTAGGCCACTGCTCACTCACATGCACACAAGGCATCAGGAAGGGCATCCAGCCAGCAAACATTCAGCTCCAATCAATCACATGCCCACAAACAGGAAAAATTGAATTTCTATGTTTTCTTCTTTGAACAGCCAACAGTCCCATTTGTATTGCAAAGTTTTCATTTTAGCTTTGGTACATCTTATTTTTTGGTTCATAATCTAACTAAAAGAAAGCTAAGCTATTGTACATATTACAGATGCCATCCAGTCCTTTCACTTTTCAAATTATGTTGATCCTTTGTCTTGCCTCTTCAGGAAGGCAGAACAGACACTACAATGTGTGGATCTGAGTAATGGCCTTTTGAAACAAAATTCCCAATTATAAAGCGCTGCAGTCAGCAGATTCTGATGCACAGCTTGTATTTTCTGCTCTTCGGAGACTGTTAACAATGCACTTTAGATTGCACACCATGGCTAAGGGAAGCCTGTTATTTCCTGGTTCTGTAAGAAAGAGTGTATGTTTGTAAGCGTGTATATGCATGTGGATAGAAGATACAGCAATACAGCTCTAGTTATAGCTGATACGGATTTCCAAAAATCTGGTGGAGGTTCAAGAATATTTGAAAAAAATCAACCTCTTGGAAAAGGGATGTGAGAAAATATTTCCAGGTTAGGTTAATCATTTCAAAGTAAACTATATGCTCCACTTTAGGTAATACATGCCTAGTTTGGCTAAAAACAAAGTGACCTCTGAGCTATGTTTCTGTGCTCATGGGGAAATTATAATTACACACCACCTGCTTGACTTGCCTAACTCCATCCCTCTGTCTTTTTTCTCTCTCTCTTCCTACTTAGCTATCGGTATGGTAATTGGTATAAACTTAGGACAAACACTAAAACTATTTGTCTCCCTGGAATAATTTTATAAGCTGGTGTGATCTCTGTCTCAAAAGAGCAGTTTGTAAGGTTACTAGAATTTATTTGAATTCACAATAAGTGTCAAAGAAAATCTCGCAGCATGAAGAATGCATAACAAATCATTACTAAATATCAGCAAATGCATTTATTTCATATCAGCAGATGTATTTATTTCATGTTATTTTTCCCCCAGAAATTTCAAAATGTATTAGTCAGAGAATGATCATTGTATGTCAATTATTAACAAACATTAGGTTACCAAAAGCAAAAACTATTACAAACTTGACCTACTAGACTAATTTATATAATAGGTAGATGTGCCCAAATCCACATTTTATACTGGAGTTATTGTAGAGGATAACTAACGGCAGAACTGAATAAAGAATGGGCAGGAATATTTTAACTATTAATTCCCTGAACCTAACTGAATTTGTTATTTCACTGAATCTAGAGTCCTTTCCAGAAAATGTGATGGCTATCTGGTGCAGGAGATATAACAGGTGGAACAACTGGCTATGTGGGTACTGCCTTGGGGTAGATTGCTCTAGCACTGATACAAGTAGTCCTCACTTACTGACTGCCTAATTTAACAACCATTACACCAGTGTTTTGCAACCAGTCTTTGCATTTATGACAATTACAGCATCCTGTGGTCACATGCCCATCATTGGACTGCTTCGCCATTAGCTTCCGAAAAGCAGGATAATGGGGAATGTGGATATAAAATGGCAAATCTCTACTCTATGATGCCTTGCTTAACATCTCTGGTGATTTGCTTAATGACTGAATGAAAAGTGATGCCTTAAGCCTACCACAATCACATGATTTTCTACTTTGTGATATTGTATCTAGCAACGAAGTCTTTAGTCCCAGTTATGGTCATAAATTGAGATTACCTGTAGTTAAGATAACTCCAGAAAGTAAGCTGTGCTACTTCACACAGCCTTACAAACAATTTAAAAATAGATAAGTTGTTCTTCAGAGTCCTTGTAATGGTATGTAGAAATATCTTTGGAAGACTAGGTAAGAGATGTTGCCTAGGAAATGGTCAGATAAGAGAGAGTGTAGTCCACAACTGGATAGTGGATGGAGCACGAGGCTTAGGATGAATCCTTCCTAAGATATTGGGCTGTAAAACAGTTGTCAAGAGAGTTTTGCTTTCAGACTTGCAAGATTCTGTTAATGTAGCTGTACAATAAAGTAGAATTAGCTTATCTGTTTTCTGTCTGGTCTACCTGGTACTGTTGACACTCCTACAATATAAATACTCTTTTCATGGGCTTTCAAATTTGGGAACTTCTGTCAGAGTGGATATAGATGTGGCAGGACACATCCATTGATATGATATCCTGGGTTTTGTTTTCAAATGAAAGTAGGTTTGAAAATTGAATGGGACCTAGTTAAAGCTAACTTGTTCTCCACTGATTTCCAGATCTAATCCTCAAGCTAAAGTTGTCATATTCTTTCTGCAGGAAAATACCTGTCATATATATAAGCATTCAGACAACCACCTCTCTGATTCCACCATAAAATCCATCTGGAATTAAACCATTTTTAAATTGTTTTCAGTTTTGTTCCCTGCCTTTTCTCTTTGCAATTCTTCTTGCACACACATTTAGTGAGTATGGGTATAATTGACCAGCATTAATGAGCAAATAGACCATATGGATTTTTTTTTCTGAAAAAGCTAGAAAGGAGGAAAAAAGGTCAATTTATACAAGCATGTCTCAAAAGTGAAGTTCACCATCCACTGACACCACAAAGCTGTTCAAATTGTACACAATTATTAGCTCCTGATCACAATCCTGTTTGATTACAGTGGAGCTCACCTGGTGACAAGACTAGTACTGAATCCACTTTAGGAAAATGATAAGAATAACATTTATGGAAACAATTAAAAGATGTGGTTGTTTTAAAAGGATTTTCCCCATTCACTTTCTGGGCTGCTGTTTGTTATATTTAATTTGCAATACAATAAGAAAAGTACAAAGTAACTACTTTCAGGCATGTGCAAATTATTTTTGAGAACATGTGATGAGTACAGTCATGAGTACAGACAAAATTCCGGCTAAGAAAAAAAAGGACACAATTGATCATAATATAGCCAAAGGATTATTTCTTTTTATTGCTGTGATTTTTAATCCGGAATTAGATTATTTTATAGTGACAAATCAAATTCCATCTTCAGCCCACTGCAATGCAATTGTATAACTTTACACAATTAGAAGTCACAGTAGGTTCTTTATAAATTACAGATGACATGAGCTGAAAAAAGCAATATAGAATGAATATTATATGACAATTGAAGTTCTTTTTTAGATTAATAGACAAATTCAGCTTACTTTTTTTGTTCTTCAAATATGGTACCCAGAACAGAGGAAAAATTGTTTTTGTTATGCTGAAAAAGCAAAGTTCTTCTCTCATGTACATTTTAAACATTCAAAGTAGAAAAAGTGTTACCTCTCCAGGTCAGAAAGTAATGCAGTGGCAACTTCCTGGGAATCCTTTGCTGTGTGCATAATCATCCTCCATGCTGCATATTATTTATTGCATCAAAGACATAGAGATCCAATACAACAACTGAGTTTTAATTCAGAAACCACAATTTCCTTCAATGGTGTGGTCTACAGTAAGCAAATACGGTGATGATCTCAAGACAAGGATTGAGTAAACAGGTTCTGGGGTTAGTTAATGAGAACTAACCAAGATAGATTTCTTTAATAAAACAAGTACATCCTCCTTCCGGATGTAGAAATTTTATATTATATACCTCCTTTATAAAACATATCTCCTTTATATAAGGAGGTATGTTTATAGATTACTTTACACCACTACCAATGTTTAAGTCTAAAATAATTAGACATTTTGTACCCACTGGCTTAACAGGCACTATCAATTCTGCTTGAGGTGCAGAAATTTTCACAGTGAGCTTCAGTGAGCATTGTCACTGTTCTGCTGAGCCAACATCCATCATGCAACGTGATTAAATCTACAATCAGACTTTATAATAGAAATAGGGCATTTATATTATCAGGGAACTCATGTCTTGGACTTTGAAAGTAAGTGCCTCAGCATGGTTGAATTGCTATGTAGCAGCAGGAAACTGTTATCAGCATTGGACAAACTTTAGGAGATTATCCATTTTCATATAGAAATCACCTTGAGCACTTGGGGCTTTCAGTAAGTTAAATATACTTGGTGCTATTGATATAGAACTTCGATATAAAATGGCATGCAGAGAAACCTGATGATTTCTGAAGAGAAGCAGAGATACAGGTCAGCTTTCAGTTGATACCACTTTACAATTGAGTTCAGTGAAAATCAGCCCCTAAAAGACATGCATGATGGAACTTAGATCTGAGGGAGATAACCCTCAAACTCAATTAAGTTAAGGCCATAATTAAAGCACAAACAGTCAGATTTCTTCTTTTTTCTTGCATGACTGTTTCTGTGATAGCTAATTATTCCAGGATCAGAAAATGATCACATTGGGTGCTGTGCATGCAGAATTTTTCTCTTAGGATCAGGGTAACTGATAAAATTTTACTGTCTATCATAATTTAATGATAGATTCTACTATGAAATTTGCACTTGGGTTTTCATGAATGGAAATGTAGAACTGAGGTCAGTCCCTAATCATTTGGCTTTGCTCCATACCCTGTTTTCCCCAAAATAAGACATCCCCTGATAATAAGCCCAATTGGGCTTTTGAACGCATGGCAATAAGGCCAAGCACTTATTCCAGGGTTCAAAAAAATATAAGACAGGGTCTTATTTTCAGAGAAACACGGTAATAACTTGCATGCCCTGAATACAATGCTTGATGAGAGTAATTGATGTGTTCTATGCCTTTCTTTTATTGTAGAATACAAAGATCATCTGTTGGGAACCATGTTGCAAGCAAATGGTGAATAAGATTAAAGTAAGGGATGGCAGGAGTCAGAGCCCAAAAGAGATAGTGCTATCTATTTTCTCACTTCTTTAAACTCTCTTAACCAATTCATACAACAGGATACTGGGGAAAAGACAAACTGAATTTGCCTGAGGTCATAATAGCTTACTTGCAAAGGATTTTTGAAATTAAGTTGGCTACATTAAATTAGGCCAAGTATTACATATATTCTTCCCTGCTTTAGTCACGTTTCACATTAAAAGCAAGCAAATTAAGGTTGATGTCTGTGTTGCAGTTTTGAAGCAATTTTACCCACAATGTTCAGAAACAATGAGAAGGAACAGATTAGCCTATTAGAGTCCAGTAGAGTTAAAATTTGAGAACCAATAGCAGAAATACAATTCAGACAAAGCAATAGTCTTATTCTAGTCCAACTTCAATTGAGTCCAAATCTGTATCAGTAGCCAAGTTTTAAATACAAGGCATTATCACCTCTGTTTTTTTGGCAAGGAGTGGACTTGAAATAAAATATAAAGCAAGCAAGATGTGGCTGTCACAGCAAATTCCAGCACTGTACTGCATTGTTTAGTCACTAAACAGAGAAAACTCCCAGTCTTCTCCCCCAGATACCCAACATCCATTGACCCTGATTTCTGGAGTCATGCTACTTAAAGTACCAGCCTATTTCCATATAGATCAGGGGTGTCAAACGTCATCATGGTGGCATCACGTGATGTATTGGGACTTTTTCCTCCTTCACTAAACTGGGGGTGGGGGTGGCCAGCACATGACGCATCTGGCCTGTGGGCCAGGAGTTTGACAGCCCTGATATAGATAATCCTACATTCTATTTTTTCCCTTTCCTCTGGGTCTTTACAGTGTTATGGTGGATAGGACCTTGATTCAGAGTATAAAAGAAGAAAGACAGAACTTTACTTTATGTTGTGAATAAAGAATTAGCTTTTGATCTACTCTAATAAGTGCTACATCTCAGTTTTCTTGGACGGAACATTCATAGTTCTGGAATATAACAGCAGATAGAGTTAAAAACTATTGGGTTTTTTTTCCCCTTTAACTAAAACCATGCTACTCAATCCTATTTGGAACTCAGACAAGAGACCCAAAGGTATCTAGCAAGAAGGCTAAAGAAGAAAACAATAGCTTGGATAGAGCTGTATTTTTAGTGATCTGTTTTCTTTTCTATTGCCATTTGGTTCATTCAGGACTTGAGCTCCTGATGACTCATTTGGGAATGTATTAGAGTTAATGAAGGAAAGATAAAACGGTGCCATTGTAAGTTAATATAAATAGAGAAGAGGTGGAAACTTTGCTCTATCACTGGCTTTATTCACAAAGCCAGAGCTGTTACTTGTAGACATCATCTGATATGATCAATTAATAAAACAAAACAGCATGTTATTTCTTTAAAATAAAGGAACCTAGTTTCCCAAATTTCTGTAGCTTTTTCATTCAAATGCGGTTCCACTCATGTGCTCAAAATGTTCTGCTGCTCCTGACATAACTTTTAATTCTGTTATATGAATGAAGACGTTATAGCTGTTTGAGGATTCTCCTTGCTAGTCAGCACAGATACTAGATACTGGTTTCCTGAAAAACATTTTACCTTTTACCTTGAATTGGGTCCAAGTTAGGTCAAGGCTTGACCCTTCAAATGCCAATCCTAATAGTCTCTATTATATTATCTTTATCTTTATCTTTTCCTTGTACCTCATGATGCTCTGTAAGTCAATGAACCTTACATGGCCGTAACTCCATACTTTATCTTGAAATAGGAGACTGCTTAGTTTATCTTAAAGCAGAAGAAATAATCACATTAAAATAAAATCCCATCCTTGGGTGCACTGTCCAAAGGTCTCTCTCGTTCCTTCTTCTTAGAATACTTTGCCCGTTGGTAGAAAACAATGATGATAACAGTTGTAGCATTGAGGGCAATTATAAGAAGCATGACCCAGTATGAATATCCATATGAGTTCCTTTGTTCAAAGCCTGGGAAAACTTTGCAATGATTGATGGCCAGCTCAGCAGACAGTTTGTTTACTTCTACATTCACTGCAAACAATATTAGGTTTAAGAGACAGCAGATACCTAGAAGTAAAAAGAAAAGATTGCTGATATTGTGCATTTCTCTGTTGTGTTTAGTTCCTTTTAAATGTAAAACATGCCAAGTCAGTCAATTGCTTCCAGAATGGATTGAGATACATAGCAAGGATCATCCATGTGGAGTTATATTTCTTCATACAAAATATAAAACAACATTCTATATCTCACATGTGTCGGGTGATAATTCTCATCACCCCCAGCCCCCCCCCAGCAATCACACTGTGATCATAATCTTCTTTTAAATCACCCCATAATTCCTTGCGGGGTGGAGACTGGGCAACTGAATGGAGCTAGCAGAGTGTATTAATGGCCGGATGCCCTTCCTATCACCGATGTGGAGTTTTGTTCAGTAGATATATTCTCAGTATGCCCAGAGAGAGAAATATCTGCCTCTACCTAGGCTCGAACTCACAGCCTCCTGATTGTGAGGTGAGAGTGCCACTTCTAGGCCACCGCGCCACTCCAGCCATCACAGTGTGATGGTTTTGAACAATGGTTTTTGTAGTTCACATTGAAAGCCTGGGTTGTGGTAGGATTTTGCATAGGTTCTGCTGGGCGTTTATATATACAGTTTTCTCCCTTGCACTAATTATTTCAGACCTGTTTTAAAAAGCAGGAATCTCTTGGGACAAATTCAATATCAGAAATTGAGTTATTTTAGTAGCAGGATCATAAGGAGAGCAAAGTACATCAAAAGAAACCTGATGTAAGTCTAATAGAAGACTGAAGGGTTGTAGCTCCAGGGAAATGACTGAATGAGTTCATTTTACAGTATAACATTTCACTACTTTTGATGTATATAAAAAACAGTTTTTGTCTGCAAGTGTATTTCTATTTTTTGTCTCTAAGCAATGTTTTTCTCTATTGCAATTTCACTCTTCAGGCTGCTCTCCTAAGAACTAAGGAAACCTTGTATTTTTTTTCTTACTGGCTCAAGGAGCCAAAATAGACATGATATGAAAGATTAATGATCAGATGGCCTAAGATTTTTAACTTTTAAGGAACTTTGGGCTCTTCTTCTGTGTCATTTCCATTATCTTGGTGATGAAAGGAGCCAGTGGGCCTTTTGTTATACATACATATATATGTATAAAACATATACCATATTTTTCGGAGTATAAGACGCACTTCCCCCCCTCCCAAAAAGTGGATGGAAATGTCTGTGCATCTTATACAGTGAATATTGCTGGGGGGGGGAGGAGGGTTGGTATGGCGCCGATCAACTATTCTAGAATGGCCTGCGATGGCAGCGGCGAATAGGTGGCAGTGAACAGGCAACAGCGAACGGGCTGCAGTGGTGGCAGCAAACGGGCAGTGGTGAATGGGCCGGGGTGGTGAATGGGCCATGGTGAATGGGCCATGGCGAATAGGCTGTGGCAGTAAATGTGCAGTGGTGGCAGCAAATGGGCCGTGGCAAATGGGCCACAGTGAATGGACTGTCATGGAGGTGGCAAATGAGCCGCAGCGAATGGGCCATGGCAAATGGGCCACGGCGAACGGGCAGCAGTAGCGAACAGACAGATTTTTTCCCCTTGTTTTCCTCTCCAAAAGCTAGGTGCATCTTATAGTCTGGAGCGTCTTATAGTCTGAAAAATATGGTATATAGCAAATATATACCAGTAGATTTGAGAGAGAATAAGGATTTTAGATTAGAAATACAAAAAGCAAAGAAAGACTTAATTTCCCTCCTCTTCTTCCTCCTCCTCACCCTTTTTCCTCCTCTTTCTCCTCTTCCTCTGTCTCCTCCTCTTCCTCCTGCTGTTCTTCCTGCATTCCAGCAGTTGCATATTACTTACTTAATTATCCCCCAATTGGATTTAAAATTCAGAAATAAAAACCCAAAGAACAATGAAAATTCTGCATGATCATCAGAGGCTTTTTTAAATTTACTTTTAAAAGCATTTTTTCTACAACCTCTTCCACCGAAAAAATGCTTTTAAAAATTAAAAAAAATCTCTGATGATCGCGCGGCTCAGCTGGGATCGTCAACGGCTTTTCAAAGCATTTTTTTCTGCAACGTCTTCAGCCGAAGAGGTTGCAGAAAAAAATGCTTTGAAAAGCCTCTCTGACAATCCCAACTGAGTTGCCTCATTGTCAGAGAGGCTTTTTAAAAAATGCTTTTAAAAGCCTCTCTGATGATCAGGAAACTCAGCTGGGATCATCAGACGCTTTTAAAAGCATTTTTTTCTGCAACCTCTTCAGCCAAAGTGGTTGTAGAAAAAATGCTTTGAAAAGTTAAAAAAAAAAAAGTTGGCCACGCCTACTCAGTCACATTACCCTCAACACCACCAAGCCAGGCCCACAGAACCGGTAGTAACAAATTTTACATTTTACCCCTGGTTTCTCCCCTGCCCTCAGATAGCTTGTAGGTTTTGGGGGACTAGTTGAAAGCTGAGTATTTAAAAGAAGTCTAGCTCAGATGGGAAAATTCGTGAAATTTGCTCTGTTTGAAAAATAAATAAATAGTTAAAGTGGCAAAAATGGTTGCTTGGAAAGAAAAACAGGATTTTTTAAAAACAAAAAACAAAAAAAACCCAACCCTTTCTGCCAGGTGTCAAAGCAGCACATTTTGGATTAAAAGGTGAAAGCAATACTGAATGAGATATTGTAACAGCCTCAGTAAAAAAAAAATAATGAAGTCTAAAAGTTACTAGAGGTAGCATTAAGCATTAGATGTGGTCCTTTCTCTGCAAAGGAAGCATTAAAGCAAAATGAAAACACTCTAACCCAGATAGAAAGAAACACCTGAGCCGTAATGGGGAGGGAATGTGTATTTTCTGACGATTGTTTTCAGAGAGAGCAGAGGATCACTAGAAGACTCTCCAGAAAGAGTTAATTAGTATTATTCTTTGAGCTGCTTTATTAAATAACGACAGTAAACATATCTTTGGACTGTGACTAATAATTATTACACCCATATTATTAATCTATATAGTCACTTCTGAACAGTATATATGACCATCAGACATGTGTATAAGTACCCTTTCTTTTACCCCATTTTACAGATTTATATGGACCTTTTCCAGTAATTTTGTATAGGCACATAATGTGTCACTTTTAAGCCAGTTTCCATGATGTTTGCGGATATTGGATGTAATTTGGATTATATTATAAATGATAAAGCAATTCCAGAAGATAGTTTAAGACGTAAATTGGCATATATGAACCTTGATTACAAATGAATAAAATGAGTCTTTTTGTTAGAAATATAATCCATAAAATGTTATCATTCTGACTGCTCACAGAATTAGTATTCTTAAGATCTAAACATAAAGCTTTTAACATTAATTATTATGCTTAATTTTTATTGGATTCATTTGGACTATAATGTTTGTTTTTATTTTATATCATCTACTAGTCTGTAATTAAAGGTGAGGAACATTTGTAAATTTGAAAGTTAGTAAATGAAGTTAACCAGAGATTATTTTTATTGCGATTGCTTAATGTGTTTTAAACCTGTTTGTACTTCCAGTTAATGAATTTAGTAGAATTTTGATAATATTGATAAATATCAAGATGGTTGCCTTTGTTTTTTTCATTCTGAATTGCAATTGTTTGGTGTCTCAATGTAAGTATATTAGATTATCCATTATTTGAAAACATCTGCTCAAATGTATATTACTTACAAGACACAGAATTCCAGGTATAAACTCCAATAGGTCCCAAAAATGTTTGGTATGGGTTGCTGATGGCATTGAAACAGGTAAATCCAGAACTAAGGAAGGAACTCAGCATAGTTACAACCAGCAGAAATATAATTACACCATGGAAAATGTTCAAAGTATCATTTTCTAGAGTACCTGCAACTGAAACATAATTATTCATAATTAGTATGACAAGATGCAGAGATAATATAAATAATATCGATATAGACATATTTCACAAGAACCTGTTATCACGTTTTCTGACCAGCAAAATATTTAAAAGTATTAGTTTCCATCAACTGCAGCTTGATTCATTAGAGGCCTACAGTGGGTGGTTGGAAAAATAGCTACCAGTCTTCTGATTTTATTTTTATTTTTTTGTCATATATTAACATCACTCTCTCTACAATAGCGCCCCCAAGCTTTTGGGCACCAGGTACCAGTTCCATGGAGAGAGTTTTTCCATGGGCTGGAGGGGGCATGGTTTCACATGCTGTCTGCACCCTGTGGATGGGGCTTTGCTTATTTGTTCAGTCTGGTTGCTGGCATGCTGTGGCCCGGTGGTGGTCCACGGACCGGGGGTTGGGGACCCTGCTCTACAATATCCACATGAATGAACTGATTTTTGTAAAGGTAATTAAAAAAGTAGAAGCAATTGATTATAATGATGACTCCTTTCAAATATGACCGTGCATGTTGAATTCTCTCTTCCCAATGGATATTGTCCAGATAAAAGGACACTGACACACTGATTAAATTAGGAAGGACTGTTCTAGCGCTATAAAAACATTTACTGACTATTGTGCATGGGAGTTTATGAGCAAGAGTTGGAATTTTGCAGATGGACTTTCCTCCATACAGTCATGGATACTTCTAATTGTTTGGACAGGGCACATCTGTGCAGAATTGAATGCATATAGCTTTGTATGCAATGTTACTGATGGTGCTTCATTTTATAAAGATTCTGATCAAATCAAGAAAATATGTGTATATATATGTACATATATATACATGTATATAGAAGAGGCGATAGACATCACGATCTCCGGAACGTTTAAAAGTTTTAAATTTTTTATTTGAAAACTTGTGCTAAGCTTTCGTCGGCTCCTACCAACTTCGTCAGAGTATAAAATCCCCATTGAGGAGCTGCTTGCTTTTATGTGATGCTTATCAATTTAGTCATTGCGCGTGTAACAGGCCCACACCCTTGCCTTCCCCCTGTAATTATCTTTTTTTTCTGCCTTAGTCATGCTGACTGATGACGATGCACTTTCTCCTGCCTCCTTCCCCATTGTGTGTTGCCTCTTTCTCTCCCTGGGGGGTAACGCAGGGTTATCAGGCATTGCTTTGAAGGTATTTCTCCCGGCTCTCTCTCCCTCATTGTTATGCCTTTCCCTTTTAGGCACACACATTGCCTCCTCTAAACCCATTTGTTTTACCCATGATCTTGTGATGGGTTTGCGTTGTTCTTCCTTACCCCTCCATCTTCCTCATTCTGCTGTTTCCCTAACCTACTCTCTTGCCCTCTATCAGGGTTTATCACACCTTCATTGGGCCACTCTCCATGCCTAAAGGAGGAGATTTGTCCCCGATCTCCATTCAGTCTTAGTGATAGGTCCTCCTTAAGTCTTTCCTGGTGCCGTAAAGCCTGGTATGCCGGTGGTATGTCAATATGTCTATTGAGGGAGTTGTTGTTAAAGAACCAGGCTTCTTTCAAGAGGCGTCCTCCTTTTGTTTCATCGTGGGCAACGACTTCGGTCTCTTGGGAGTTGAACTCGTGACCATGCTCCTCCATATGCATCCAAATCTGGGAGCACTGTTCCTTACGTCTGACCGCTAGTTTGTGGTCATGCACCCTCGTTTTCAGTCATTTTGATGTTTCTCCTATGTAATGACCTGCGCAATTGCTGCAGTTAATATTATAGATTATTGAGGAAGTCTCCTCCTTCGGCAAAGCTTCTTTCGGGAGCATTACTCTCTTCCTCAGTGTTTGGTCAGGTCTGTGTGCCATTCTAACCCCATGTGGTGCAAGGATGCGTGCTGCAGTTTCGGACACCCCCTGTATGTATGGGAGCACCCTCCACGTTGTTGTTCCGCATGCGCCCTCCATGGGCTGCTGGGCCCTGGGTGTAATACATTGATGGATAAAATCCCTCGGATAACCATAGAGAGCGCAGACCCGGTAAAGATGCGCACATTCTTTTGCTTTGGCTGCCCGTGTGCTGCAATGGGTATCTATCCTGCCAAATAATGTCTGAAGGCAGCTAACTTTGTGCACATTAGGGTGATTGCTTTCGTTGTGTAAAATGCAATCCCTGCTTGTGGTCTTTCGGTATACTTCTGTGTCAATGCTCCCATCTGGGTTGCGGCTGATTTGCACATCCAGGAAGGCTAGTTTATTACTGGCCTCCTCTTCCATCGTGAACTGGATATCCGGGTATATGGAATTGAGGATTCCCATAAACCTGGTACTATCCTTTTGTTTGATGATGGTGAATGTGTTATCAACGTAGCGTGCCCAAAACTTGGGTTTGTATATTTTCATCACTTCCTGCTCTAACCGCTGGAGGACTGCCTCCGCAATCACCCCTGAGATTGGTGATCCCATCAGTGTGCCCTTGGTTTGTTCATACATTTGGTCGTTAAACGTAAAATAGGTTTTGAGGCAAAATTTCAGTAGGTGGATGAGGTCATCCGTGCTGGGGGTTTTGGGGTTTCTCGGTTCTGTTGTCAATAATAAATCTTGGATGGTCTGTATTGCTAACCCCTGGGGGATAGATGTGAATAGTGAAACAATGTCAAAAGATACCATTATCTCATCCCCTACCACTACCACTCCTTTCATCCGTTGTAAAAAGTCCCTAGAAGATCTTACGATGGTGGTGGTCCCTTCAACCAGGTGTTGCAATTGGCCATATAGCCACTTGGCTAAGCCAAATGTGGGGGTGCCACGGAGAGAAACAATGGGGCGTAGGGGTACCTCCGTCTTGTGGATCTTTGGCAACCCATAGAATCGTGCCATGGCTGAATCTACATGTATATATATATATATATGTACAATTCATTCAGTTCATTAATCTCTATTGAGATCTTTGAGAATGTGGTTAGGTCCCTGCCATGCATTCGTTATTCTTGGATCTGAATAGCATTAGGACTTCTAGAAATTTGGAATCATTCTTAGCAGTCTTAGGAACCTTCTTCTTTTCTGATCTTTTATTACTCACTGTATATAACCCCTGTATAAAAACCCTGAGAAAAGTCTTTGATTTTATTTCTTAATATTTCCAATTTCTTGAACGTAGTAGTAGAAACTGCTCCTTGTTTATCTTATTAGAAGTGCTTTATAATTCTTTTATTTTCTGATATTTGTGAGCTTACTTTATAGGTATAAGGTGCTGCTGTACATCTCTCCTCTAATACGCAACCTCTCTGGCTATCTCTTTTTCCTGATTTTTTTTTTTTTAATCCTATGGGAGCAGTTAACCTCATAATAATTTCCTCTGGAATTTATCTGTAGAGTAGAACAGCAATGAAGCTGCAATCTGCTGGAGAAATTATTGCATGATGAAAGGCGTATCACCTAGTTTCAACAATCTCATAATATCAAAGTAAGCTTAAGAACAAGGCATTTGCTTCCCATTAAAATTTCACTAGTGTATTTTTCTTTTCTGGAAAAAAAATAGAAGCCATTTGTTATCTGACATATAAAAGGAAACCAGAACATTTTGGTATAGCACTAATAATTTGATATAGTGGTTTAATATTTTAAAGACGTGATTGTATTTTATCCCACAATTCTTTGCCAAAATCTTGTGTTTTAAAAAATAAAACAAAGAGACAAAAATATATTATTGTATGCATGTTTAAAATAAAAGCAGAAGGCATAACTATTTCTGTTCAAATATACCCATTCAAACATAATGCAGCAAACTGCTTATACATTTTCTTAAATTGTCTATTGTTCACATCATGACAAGTTCATCTTGAGAGTAGGCCATCTGTATTGGTACACAGAAATGTCTGTAAAGGGGGTTGATTTCTTTATAAGAATGTCAAATATTTATGCTTATTTAGAAGTGGCTAAACGTTGGCAACATATTTTAAATCAAACCTAAACTGAACAAAATTGTTAGTCTCCTTTGATGTATGGCTAAACATTTCAAACATAATGGATTGGGGATTTATTTAAGAATAAAACATTTTTAATATTGGGAGGTGAGGAATAACTTATGAAGTGCAGCATCTCATTCTAGGATTCTTCTGGAAAGCCCAAGAAAGCCTACAGTCATTTATTACACAACATAAATCACAAATGGCAGCCTAATAAGTGTCTGCTAGTTTAATTGTGTGTCGTGGTTTCCGCATTTAGAATGCAAAATGTAAGAGATCAAATTTATTGTTTAGTCAGGAAGGCTCATGAGAAATCTGGAGGATAATATCAGATGCCTTACTTGTGGTAAGGCTACTAATTAACTGACCTTTTAATATTCAAGCAAATTGCTCTTGCCAACAAATTTCAAGCTACCCAAGAAATGCTATGCACAATAGCCTCTGTATAATTCATACTACAGGTCTTTACATATTTAGTTCTCTTGCTTTTTTCCACCAAGAATGGCAGAAGATATGTATTAAGTTGTATTATGGTACATAATAAAATGTATTTCGTATTCTCACAAAAAATGAAAAATAATATATGTTCTGATGTAAGAATCATTCTTATTTATTAGGTTCAGCATAGCCATCCAATCCAGTGTGGCATTCAATAAAGAGAAGCATCTTAATTTAATCTAATACACAGCTTTTAATAATGGTATCCATATATTATGTATTGAAAAGACGAAGAAGGGGCTGTCAGGTCTTTGAGGTAGTCCAGACAAGCAAACAAAACCATGAGAACTAGCACTGTTGCAAATTACAATAATATAATCTTGCACTCCTTCCCTCCCTTGCTTTTATTTTCCAGAGAACTAGGAAGGGTTCCTTCTAAGATGCTTTATCCAGCCCCATTCCTTTTGTGGGCTGAGATATCTCTTGCATGACTATTGTCTTGGCTATGGCACCTCTTCTTAAGGTTATTATCACAGCTCATTATGGTGTGGAGGGTAAGCGATAATGACCGTAATAACCTTTGTCCCATTGTCTTTTCTTTTCACAACTGTTAG